ATGAAAAAAAAAACCCCAACACCCCAAAAAAGCCTACACCCCACCAAGTCCCAGAACTCCATGTTAGCCACTTATATAGAAGCTAACAATTTCAGCAATCTAAGATGTAGGAATATTACAGCGTTAATCCCCTAAAAATTCCAAGAGTTAGTCAACATCATGAATTTGCAAAATTCTCAAAAAATCCTCAAGATTTACAAATATTAACAAAAAGAAACGGATATACTTCACTAAGTTGCAAAGTTTTCTGGAAAACCCATAGAATTTGAATTTTGAATAAAACCCCAAGAGGACCTCCACCTCAATGACTTCCCCCCACCCTACAAAACAGAAGATGTGAAAAAAAAAAGTTAAACAATTTTCTCTCAAAAAATTTAGAAAAATGATCCTTTCAAGATAATCCATCTTTTTAAACCTTGATCAGTGACAGAGGATTCCATCTTGGTGGCCTCCATTTCTATTGTAGTTCTCGCCGGCTTTTCTCAAGTTGATTCAACCCAATCAAAGACCGCACTAGCCCATCATCCGTGATAAGATGGCTTCATTTGAACTTGATGGTCGACCATGAGATCTTCCCTCCTCTGCTTATCTCTACACTACCGACATCCCCCCTCCATGCACATGTCAAGTTCAAATGAGTAACCCTTATCATGGACAGGTTAGCATGATCTCTGACTGGGTTGAATCTGCTCTAGAAAAACCCCGTGGACTGCAAGAGAAATGGAGGCCACCGCAATGGAGAATAACTGATCACTGATCAAGGTTAAAAATGAAGGATTTCCTTTTAAAAAATTGTTTTTTCTATGCTTTTGAGATAAATTGTTTGACTTTTTTTCCACATATTTTGTTTTGTAGGAGATGACAACCATACAGGTGCAAGTCTTCTTGAGGTTTTATTCAAAATTTAAAAATTCTAGGGTTTTTTCTGTAAACTTTGCAACTTAGTGAAGGAGCTTAACACTTAGCTATGCTCAATGAGAACATTCCTACGTCTTAGATTGTTAAAATTGTTTAGTTTCAAGATAATCAGTTACTAGAATATCATAATAGCTAAAGAAACAGGAAGTGACATAACCTATGCTCACATAGCAGAACCTACAATTAGACCTGACTCATTCATAATATATGTTAAATATACAAAGGAATCTGTACATGCTAACATCACCAAACTAGTGCACAGTGCCAATATTTGGGTACCGATTATACAACAGTCTCCACTGTTATAATTTAACGTTCTGTTCCCTTGCAGTTAATTTAGTCATGCAAGCTTAGTTGACATCAATGTTGCCAACATATTGAAAGATCTTAATCTGAACAACAAAAAATAATGAGCAGTCCCAGCTACTTAGATGCATATATATAACATGCTAGATTGTCGATGCACGGTTACATATTATCTATACTGATTGCAAATGATAGACAATTCAATAATTATGCCACTAAAAGCATGCATCCTTAGGACCTTAGTTGCCAGCGTCTTCATGGAAGCACTGCAAACTTATTGTTCTCTTCTACATGTACAATACAACTTATATTGGCTTGCACGAATTATAAATTCAAATCAATGCATATGGCAAATAGCATCCAAAAAGAAGATATCTCACCACTAGTAGATCAAAAAACATACACATGTCTTCATGTAAAGGAATCTCCATGCTGCTACGAAGTGTTTGGCTTAAGTATCTTCCTAATATACCATATATGTTGTTTACATCAATGCTATCATGAACTAGTTCATGGTTTGAATGCCCCCACCATGAATCAGATAAGCTTTTTTTTATCCAGATTGAACACTTTATATGATCCAATTTGATATTGTTATCTATATCCACACCATATAATTTTAAAATGATGGTTCCAGTATAATTTTGAGTGGATGTTAAAATCCAATCAGGTTGAGCCCTAACATAATTCCAAATTATACTGTCTCTGACGAATAAAATGTCAACATTGGACTTTAAGTCCTAGATTTGTTTGAAGAAAGAGTCCCCAAATTGCTCGATCAAGTCTTCTTTCAAGTGCATTTCCCAGCAACAGTTTAAGCCTTGAAAATATTTGATTCAAATATGGGAACAACAGTAAGTGTTTCACCAACAGGTTTATAACAAACCTCAAATTTTCACTTCTCTGTACAAGTAATAATTTATTGCATAACTTCTGCAAATCCTAATGAAGAAACAGGCCATTATTTTTTGACTAGGAAACAAGGTACACAAATTGTTATAAAGTATTATAGCAAATAAAGCATGGAGGCAATCTGAATAAATCATTTGATGAAACACCAAGTTGAACTAGAATTTCACCAATAAATCTATACAAAAAAGAGGTTTTCATGCAATAAATAGTCTTAAAATTACCAAAAAGGGAAAAGACGTTTAAATATGAACTAACTAAAAAGCAAAAGCTAAACTAAAGCAAGTGAACTACTAAAATTAACAAACTCCAACTTGGTCCAACTCCAAAGTTCTGATCTTCAATTAATACTGTATAACTAATAGAAAAGGAATGAGAGGAAATCTGAAGATCTAATCTGATATCAAATTTTAGCAGCAGAACCCCAAATTTACGCCTTTTCCCAATATCTAAACGAAAAACTCAATTTTAATAAAATAAAACGCATAAACACAATTACCCAAAATGAGACAACCCATGAATAATTCAATCAAAATACCACCAAATCTAGCACAAAATAAATTCTAAGAACTAATCTCGACGCCTTAGGAATAATGGATAGGAGAGAGACAGAGGGCTAGAGACTGGAACCTGTGATCCATCGATGAAGAATTCAGGAGAGAAGAACTGAGAAAGAGTAGCTCTGTTTGGGTCGTCGAAGGATTCTTGACCCGATCCAGTTGCTTTCTCTAATTTGCAGGAGGCTTTCTTTATATGGTGGACCGTCATCAATGTTCAGCTGTGCTGTGGAACAGTATAACGGATGGGCTTAATTGTAATTAAATACCCAATAGCTTTTTCTACTTTTCACTTATATACCCTCACTTATTTTTGGTAGTATATATACTCCAAAACTTTTAAAACTTGCACTTGTATACCCTTATTTGTTTTTATCAGCATTTATACACCCTAAAGTCTTTAGCACTGGTACTTAAATACCCTAGTTTTTAAAACTTGCACTTAAATACCTAAAGTTTTTAGCAATTAAATACCCTAAAGTTTTTAAAACTGATGGTATTTAAATACAAGTTTTAAAATTTTATTGGGTATTTAAGTGCAGGTCCTAAAAACTTTAGCATATATAAGTGCTACAAAAATAAGTGATGATATATAAGTCTAAGTTTTATAAACTTTAAGGTATATAACTTCTGCCAAAAACAAGTGCGGGTATATAGGTGAAAATAGGGGACTATAAATACAAGTTTTAAAATTTTATTGGGGTATTTAAGTGCCGGTTCTAAAAACTTTAGCATATATAAGTGCTGCAAAAAAAGTGAGGATATATAAGTTCAAGTTTTATAAACTTTAAGGTATATAACTTCTGTCAAAAACAAGTGTGGGTATATACGTGAAAAGTAGGGGGGCTATAGGGTATTTAAGTGCAATTAAGCCAGATGTCAATACCTATTTACTGCATGACTGAATTACCAGATTGGTATTGGTATTGAAAGTAGTATCTAACAACTAGATTGGTATTGAAATTAACTTCAGCCAGTATTCAAACTTGCACAATAATACAAATAGGCCCAAAAAATTCAAGCCAAATTTCTCCGATAACCACACATGTCATGCTTGGTTTCACATCTTTTGATCAACTCATCCTTCACATTTAAACTGCTCCTCAAACCAGTGATTTTCTTTCTCAAATGTGGAATCAATTGAGTTCTCACACTATACATACGCTTGTCAACTTATTTCAACAATCCACAACCACCTATCTGACATTATGCAAAGCAAAACCAAAAGGGATAATAGGGTTTCACACAAACCACGGCCACTATAGGCCAAAAAGAAAAAATGAAAAAATGAAAAAAAATCCAAGATGGCTTATATGCTAGCCTATTGAGTCCTTGAATATTTCCACCGCGTATGGTTGATGCTGATCGTGGGTAGTGTTAGATATTTTGTTAACAAAAGGCAATTTTGCCTTCATGAATTATAATAAATATTGTAATTAAAACATGCAATTAAAATATGTGTAACGGATATATAATTATGGGGAACGTTACAAAATTTATGACGAACGTTACAGAATTAATTACGGGTTTTGTAACGTCTTTTCCAACCCTATATATATATCCATATGTTGAGCTCAAAATAATAAGGAAAATATACAACAAGTTTCTCTTGTTTTTCTTCTCTCCCCTACATATTATTTTTATCTACATTTTAGTTTTATTTTATGGGCAACTTCATTCATCTGAGCTGAAGCTCTGCACTCTCGCCCGAGTGTAGAGGCTGGCCGTTTCCGGGGATTTTTACCGCTAGGGGGAGGGAACCATCTGCGCCAGGGCGATAGGCGGGTTCTCAATCTTCTAGGGCAGTGAATACACGACTGCTCCCGTTCAGGCCAGTTTTAATTATTTAATTTTTTGGATTTATCTGCATGCTATAATCTTAATTATTTGATAATTTTCCAACAATCTAGAAGATTGAGATGTTTATAGCTTTCGATTTAAATCCCGAAAAATAATTTTAAAGTTACTGTTCATTCGAGATAGTACTGTTCATCCGATTTAAAAAAATAAAAAAAATTGCTATTACGGTTCGCAATTTAATCAGAAATTGCTGCTCATTATAAAATGAAAATTACTGTTCATAAAAAAAATTGTTACTGTTCACAAAAACTGTAACTGTTACTGTTCGTTTTATTGAAAAATGTTTCTGATTCATTATTAAAAATAAATACATTTTGTAGTTAATGTTTCTGTTAATTTAATTAACTGCTAATTAATTTTAACGGTTAATTGCAATTAATTGTTTAAATTACTTTAATTGCTTTTATTTGATTATAATTAAAAACTAACTGTAATTAATTACAAAAGCGTGTAAGTTTCTTATTAACCGACCTTTTAATCAACTCTTTTTAGGTCAATCTACCTTGGTATGTCTTTCTGTTGTTGTATGAGGAAGATTTATATAATATGACCAGTGAAACTTATTAGAAGCTAAAGTTTGTTTTCTATGCTTATCAAAAAATATCTAAAAATATCATTAGAAATGTCATGATTGCATAATAACTAAATTGTATAAGTACAATTGCCTTGGCTGTAACTTTACAATAATTGAAGGATGGTTTCCTTTGTTGCTCCACTCTCCTTTGCAGTTGTACATAATAGAATAATTTTTCTTACCTCCATGTTCAAGTTCGTATATTTGATTTCACCTTATGTTTCTTGAACTCTTGATCAAATCAGTTTCCTGATTTGATTTGTTTTGAACATAATCTATTGGGTCATTAATTAGCTTCTGCTATGTACATTCATTAAGTCAGATCTGAGTGATGCTCATATAGATATATAGTTGACCTTAATTGGAAAATAATTTGAAATATGCACGCATTTGTAATGTTCAATGAAACATGCCTATAAAATTTGCAGCAGTGTACATATTTATTCTTGAAAGTCCCATATACATGGTTTTGACAAGTGAACAAAATCTGGATATATATATGCTTTGAAGTATTTAAATTTTTTCATGGTTTTAATGCCTTCATTTCTTTAATCTATCAATATGGTGCCTTATATTTATAATTCCATACTTTGGAGTGTTTATGCATCTTTAGTACAGAAAGTGGTAAAAGTGAATGCAGATTTGTTCAGCAACTTAAGTGGCAGTTGTCTGCAGCAGATGAGTTTTTACTCTCAAGACATGAAAATCATGAGGTTCGAACATCAATAGGTAAACCCCTCCTCGGCCTTATCCATCATATGTTTGCAGTATAATTGCTAGGCATTTTAAATGATTACAGGAAATAGTTTAAAGTTTCTATATACTGTTAAGGAACAAAAACTCATTGAGTGAACCGATTCAAGTTTTCTTGGATTAGTTGGTGTCTAAGGCAAGGTTTAAGGGTTGCGTAACGCGCTCTGCAAGGAACGAGGTACTTAATTGATCTTTGATCAACCTCTATTACTATCCTTACCTGGCTAACTACCCAGGTAAAACTTTAATCTTTTCACTTTAGGAGTTTTTGGTTTGGAATAAGAGGACCAGAATTATGAGAATAATTCATATGCATTTATTTAATTACGCTTCTTGCATCATATATTGCCTAATGATAAATGATCAATATATGAGCGAACAAATCAAAGAGGTGCATTTTTTAAAATTCTATTTTATATGGTGAATTATATTATTCAAATGTAAAGTTCATCACTTTTATTGCACTTTGATGAATATTGTAATAAATGTTCATATGTCTTCTTAGATAACTTGCATTTGTTACATGATTAATTACAAGGTTTTATGCAAGAATGCACTTGTAAAATTTAAAGCACGTATGTACAAATATTATTATTATTATTATTTGTATAAGAGGTGGTACTAGAAAATGACAACATAAATTTGGAAGGTCTCTTTTGTAGACAATCAATTTAAATTTGGAAGGTATTATTTGTAGGCAACCGATTTAAATTTGGAAGGTCTCCTTTGTAGGCAACCAATTTGTAACCTCTTATAATAGAAGAATTTTAAAATTTTTATGCATTTGAATTATGAAGTATGAAATATATTTTAAGCTACGAAAATATTTTTTAAGATATGAAATCCTATTATGCTCTGCATGTATCTATTATTAATTTCATTCATGTATGTGCATATGCATAACTGCAGAATTTTTAGTTCCACATTAGTTTGAAATGTTCAGATATTAAGGTCAATCTCTTCAGACATAGACTATGATCTTTTATGATCATAGATCATGACCTAATGTCAATTTCAAACAATATGATGGACTAATTACAAAATAAGAACTTGATAAATAAATACAACGCCTGCTAGGCAAAGTTATGATTCTAGACTTTGTAAAGTCTGTGAAAAGAATCTTGATGACCCTTTGACTAAGGGATTATCCAGGAGTGTGGTTCTGGATTCATCGAGGGAGATGGGGTTAAGCCCATAGATGAGGTCACTGACAGCGGCAACCCAACCCTTATTTGGAGACGTAGTCCCAATGTCGGTTCAATGTGGTAGAAACAAGCTGGACTAGTGACACTCGTGTGGAGCATCGACCTAGATATATTTATATATCATTATGTAGCATTTGCTACTACCCCTTCTCTATGATGACGATGCTCTTATGATACAGCTGGCTAGGCTGAGTTTTACTCTTAATAAGTCCAACGCGTGTATTGTGGGGGGTATTAAATAAACAGCTGTAGTACCCTTTGAGGACTTACCTACGTGAACAGTGATGGCCGCGGTTGGGGGGGCTGGGCTAACCCCTAGAAACTCTCATAAGTCGGTTTATTGTGAGCATGGCCTTTAACGCTCAACCCGCTTTGCTCAATAGATGAAGCGTGTGTGTTTTCATCAATACCTGATTAAAGGGGCCTAATTCAAGGCCTAGTCCATTATGTCCCTCAGATGGCGATGAACTCATCAATACCTGATTAAAGGGGCCTAATTCAAGGCCTAGTCCATTATGTCCCTCAGATGGCGATGAACTCACTAAGGAAAGGTTCAAAGCCGAAAGCTACCTCTCCCGAATTCACGATACGAAAGGTTGCCCAACCTATATTTGTTTTATGATTTCTTGATTTATTTATTGATTTCTGAGTCTTCAGTCAATATTGCCTTTTGGGTGGGACTGTTAGATATTTTGTTAACAAAAGGTAATTTTGCCTTCATGAATTATAATAAATATTGTAATTAAAACATGCAATTAAAATATGTGTAACGGATATATAATTATGGGGAACGTTAC